AGTGGTAGTGGTAGTGGTAGTGGTAGTGGTAGTGGTAGCAGTAGTTGCGGTAGTAGAGGTAGTAGCAGCAGCACAGGTAGTAGTAGTAGCAGTAGCAGTAGCGGTAGCAGTAGCAGTAGCAGTAGCTGCAGTAGTAGTAGTAGCAGGAGTAGCAGTAGGGGTCGCAGTGGCAGTAGCAGTAGTAGTAGTAGTAGTAGTTGTTGTTGTTGTTGTTGTTGTAGTAACTTTGTCGTCGTCGTAGCAGTAACCGCAGCAACATTAGCAGCAGCAGCTGCTGCAGCCGAAGCAGCAGTAGAAGTCGTCTAGTGGCAGCAGCAGCAGCAGCAGCAGCAGCAGCAGCATTAAACACCCACTGCGTCATCACCAAGACATTTGTGGGCAAGAAGTACATAGCATCAGTTAGTAGTACAAATCGGCAGTGGCTTGCAAGGACTGTATTAAATTGTACTGATTCTTTGCGGCTAGTCAAATCAGATGCACGTGACCGGTGACCGGAAGCGTTCCGCTCAGGTGCTTTAGAATTAATCACTCTTTGGTGTTTTTGCTTGTGTGTTCGTTTGTCGCCGTGTGGCGGTGGATCACACAGAGCATCACAACTAAGTGCGCGATTTTCTGTTACATATCCCAGAACATCCTAGCCTGGGCATCGGTGTCATGTTGATTGTCTTTCTGAGTCCAAATATGTTACACTCTGTGGATCGGCTGGCATGTTTCAATTCATTGTTCATTTTCTCACTTACTGGATAGGTGAGCCAACTGATCATAGACATAGACCTTTCGGGACAGCAACCAAAAAGAGCTGCCGGTGTCATGCATCCATCCAGCACTAGTCATGTCGCTGAAACCCAGGCAGACCCATGCCTTCGCACCCTAAACCCTATCACTTCACTCGCATGCTTGCTATCGCTGGACTGCCTCCAGCCAGTAGTCTCCGGCCAGAGGTTATATACCGTAGCCCAACAATCCAAGAAGCTGCGTTGCCAAGTTGATTCTGGACATGCTTGTAAGATTAGGGACCTGCTATTTCGGCTCTAAGTTCGGGGGCCTCCGCTCGAAGCTCCCACACCGAGATGCCATGGTCCCTGAAGATGCACGCCCTGGTGCAATGGACTCGACCCTGCAGGAGGACAATGTCATCCAGTCCTCCGTGCTCCAAAGCCGCACCATCAATGTCTGCAGGCCTGTGTCCAGGCCCATGTACGCACTGTTGTGGTGCCTCGTGATTGCCTGGGGCGTGCTCTCACTGCTCTCGGGCCTTTTTGTTGTGCCGAGTGCTGCGCTGGATTTCGATACACCCGGCTCCGTCCAGCTGGGCAAGGCATCGGGAGATCCCCTGCCGCAAGTTCATGCCGCAAAGTGCTGGTCGGCTGCTTGCTGCTGGTGCCATTGGTAATCTTTGTGTTCTGAGCGGTATTGCTCCAGAGCTCATGGGCTTTGAGACTGGTAGCAGGTTGAAACCCTGAACCCTGGATGCTAGTGTACTCGCGAACGCCCAGACAAAACTCGGTACTGAGAGCCTTCGCTTGAAGATTTGCTGTCAGATTAACCCAATATGGTACCCCCTTTACTCATACACCTACTTCGGTTTGCAATAATTCAGGTGTAGTCGTATAGATATAAACAAAAATAGAAACCTGAATAATACATGTATATATATACACATGTTTACACACACACACATATATATATATATGTTTAATTATTTGAAGTGTACGTATATATTATGTGAGCTGCATTCCTTAATTGAGAGGTCTTGGGCTCTCTGGCTTGTGCACAAACTCTGAGATTTCTGCAACTTATGGCCAGCCATGTCACCAAGCAGCCTTCTAAATCCCTAAACCTTGGATACCCGAATCTCTAATTAAACTGTATGTCGCACAAGCGCCGTGAACTGGGAGTCGATCTGTTTCGGACAACGGGAGAACCGAAAGAAAGACAGAGGCCCCGCGAAGGAAATATTGAAAACGGCCCTACATGGTGGTGCTCTTTTTTTCGCTTTTGAGCCTGACTTGCCGAGTGTACACAGTAAAGTCCTGCCGGCGCAGCTGGTGAGGTTCCGGCGAAAAAACAAACGTGAGAACGTGATCCTGCTATAGATCAAGCTAGCGAATCCCCGGATAGTGTTAGGACAGGGTGTCCGCTGCCTCAGCATTGGCGGTTATAAGGTGCTGTGTCTGAGAGAGAAATAGTTTACTGAGGGTAGCTTGGGAGGTGGTACTTTGGTGTAGCTGTTTGCTGGTGAAATGGACTGTTTGTTAGTTGTGACCTGCTGGCTCCTCATGGTCTCCATGGGCTGAGGTCGCTTTTGGGTCTAGGGTTAGGGTTGTTTGGGTTGGCTTAGGGACTTCGGGATCCTCCTGAGAACTCGTGCTTTCTGTCCTAAGTTACCCAGACTTGCCGTGAAGCCTATCATCCCGCCTTTTGCGAGTGGGAAAGTCGAAGCCCCAAACCCTGGAACCCTGAAGCCTGATCGGTACTACCAGTAGTGTGGGAGTCGAAAGCCCTAAAGCACAAGCCCTTCAAGCTCAAGCCTTAAACCCTGTCAGAACCTTTGTGCTACCAAAGCTTCGAGGCACTCGAGCGCGAGCGATCCCAGCATGAGATCACCAAATCCGAGCTGGAAACCGTGAGGGTCCATGCGCTGGCGGCAGACACTTAGGGTGTCGGCGTGTTAGCGGCTGAGTGCTTGTGGGATTCTCAAGCTTGAGGGTTTAAGGATTTGGGGAGGGCTACGCGATAAGCAAGGGGTCGAGATTATGATTCTAGGCTTACGGCTGCGTGCCCATGACTAAATTTGCTTATTGCACCCGCAGCGGAAACTGCGAAGGCTGCCATCACTGCAGCACTGTACAGCGACCCATGGTCTTTATGGGAATTTCTGCCACATCTGGTCGGTTTGCTGTAGACTGTATGTGAAAGTTATGTGTGGATATGTCTGTGCGTATACAGAGCAGGCTTGAATCTGGAGCCTTTCAAGAGGAAGGGGCTGACTGAAAGGAATCCGGAAAAGGCATCTGCAATATGCTGTGTTTTCGGGGTGGATTCCCTGGATAAACCCTCCAGCGTCCTCAGCTCGAGCATCTGATGCTGACATATAGGGTGTGTAATTATAGTTCGAGATACACCAAGACCCAAATTCAGATTCTTAAGACTGTTTTGTGTCACTGAAAGGGTCCGTTCAGATGTGTTTCCCGGTGCTGCATCGAGGGTTGAGCCATTATGGACTCTGATGGACGTTTGTTTGAACACATGCACGCTTCCATGCACATAAGAGCGAACAAGGAGTGAACGAAAAGCAGGTACATAGATGCGCCAGACGCCAGCCTCCGCATGTACCTACATGTTTCATTAGTTCAATTAGTCTTATTGCTTGCTATATCCAACCTTATTATATGATCACAGCCTTCATGGATAGCGGCCGATACACCTGATGTTCACATACACATGTGCCTTTGAAATTGTGCGATGCAGCGAAGCAGTGCGAGAGTGGCAACCTACCTAACTGACTTGTTGCTATGTGAACAGCTGCGTACAGCTAGACATCCAATTATGTGATATACGAACAAAGAGATTTAGAGACAGATATGCACATCGTTAGCACAGTGCATCAAGTCATAATCGTCGCTTGTCTTTTGTTCTTGAGGTGGAGCTTCTTCCGGATGGCGTCGGGAGGCACGCTGAGAGCCAGCATCAGTCAGTCGAGTTCGCTGCACAGCGGCCTCATGTCTCGCATTGGTAACTAGCTGTTCTCAAACATGCGCAAAGGCAGCTTTGCAGCTCCCACTCTGAGACTGTAACCCTTTCATTTCAGATGGGATTGCTTGCGTGGTATGGCACATGGGCATGGGGCACTTACGTAAAATTTCCCTTAAGCAGCACCTTCGGATATTGTATGCTGTACGTATTTTATGACTTGTATAGCTTGTCTCAGTTTTGTTCGATAAACACTTCAAGTATTTCAGTAGCTGCAGCTATTGTTGATTGGCGGTGCCTGCTCAGGCGCTAAGCTGGAGGTTGTGTGCTCACAATATTCAGTACTGTCGAGTCAGCATAAATGCATGACAGATGACATAGCTGCATAATGCCGAATGTGGCGTGCTAGCATTGTGGACGTCAGTCTACGTGGTGTTTGAGTCGGTCTCACAAAGCCTGAACCGGTTTCGGTTCGTGCACTCCCAGCAGACTCTAGCAACCAGGTCGGTGAGAGTAGTGGACGACCAGATTTACTGACGGGTGTTAGTCTTATTGCATGAAGCTTCAGCTGCGCTGGGTCTTTCAGATCATGTTCTGTCATTGGCTTCCCTGCGGCAGAGCCCGTTGAGCGGCAGGCAAAACCCTAAACCATCATTGACTCATCTAGCCTGCATGGTCCTCCTCAGTACCTATATATGGTAGAAAGTAGGGTTGCTACAGTGGGAATTACGATTATGGTTAGATAAATATCCCACATAATACGGGTACTAAGGACCCCCCCTGGGTTTAAACCGCCCATTCCGACGAGGGTCACATGTAGGGAAGAACTTATCGACTCCATGTAGTTTTCTTGCCATATCCTTACCTTATAAGATCCTAAGAATATCATCGGTTGAACCAAAACCGGAACTACAATGGAGACATATGGAGACTATAGGTCAGGGTGGCTGGTGTGAAGAACGGACAGGGATTGGAGCAGTGGAGAGGATGGCTAGGTAGTCAAGAGGTGCTGCCTGACGCATGGATGTGAGTGTTCAGGATTCTGGTATCCAAGCAGAAACCTTGTCCATTCCCCCTGCCCCATCGCTTGCTCCAAACCCGAAATCGCTTTACACAGAATGTATAAACAGAAGGGTGGTTCCGTGGCACCCTTTTAAAAACGATTCAAAAAGCGACCCTAATTTAGAGAGCGACCAAGAAACGGATGGAGGACCGAGCCCAAAGAGACGGCATGCCGAGCCCTAGGCCCGGATCTCTGCGATGGCGTCGCATCGGGAGCAGTGAGGCACCCTTTGGTAGGGTTACAGACTGACTTACTGATGGCTTCTAATGGTTTAAATGTTTGAGAGTTTGTCACTGCGGATGTTTCCGTTCAGGTGTTCTGGGGACTCGGACCCCACAAGCCCTACGCCTTCCACCCGCAGTTATTAAACTGGATTAAGCCAAAAAGCCGTGGCCTTCCTGGCATGGTAAATTTCGAAGTGGCCAGATCATGCTAAACCAGTCGTTTCCAACAGCCCAGAAGCCACACCTCTTGTCCGAAAGTGATTCCGCAATACGGAATTGAATACTTCGCTTATCATTGGCTTTCTTCTCCCAAGATGTTTGGCTACCCTGCGCCCTAATGGCTCTTGAGGCCTCAAGCCCTAAACTCTGTGCAGGGGTTTCCCTCACGCAGGTAGAGGCTCTCCAAACGGAGGCAAGGGAGCCTGCCAGATCAGTATGTATCTGCTGAGCTGGTGAGTTTTGTCGATAGACGGCGCACGTCAGCATATGTTGAAATGCTTCTGAGGAATGTATATCCACGCTGGAATGTTGTGCAAAGATCCACATGCAGAGTTGGAGACCGTAATTAGGCGGAGTGTGCGCAGACCTGGTACACCCAGCTCAAATTCAGTTGCTGTTCGTGGTCCTTTGACCCTAAACCTATATTAATATGTTAATCTCGATTCTTTGGCTCAAAGTCGCCTCGCGCCGCCCCATGCAGCTGCGCGGCTGCGCGTGTTCCTCCATTTTCCTGGGTCTTGCTTCCTTCTGGTGAATACATTTGATGTGACCTGACGGCAAGGTAGGAGTCGATGCAGTTGTCTCTCAGATCCTGGGCATGTTCTCACATGTTGGAATAAATGAGGGTCAGGATGGCTTCAGGTGCTTAGGTCTAGGCCTCTCCATCTTGGTGCCCGCTGGCCTGTGAGACCGCATCCCACATCTCCCCAAGAAGTGTGTGTGTGTGTATGTATATATATATATATATATTTTTTTTTATTTATATATATATATATATATATCCGAAGTAGTCTGTGGAGTGAGTGAGCGACTGAGTGGCCTGGGGTGCGCTTCGGCCGAACGGAAGCGTTGCCTCCCGCCATCTCCCTACCCCCCTCCGTTTTCGTCATCGCGGAGGCCCCCCAAGCTGCGCAGCTTGGGTTGGATTTGGGCACTTGGCAAGACAGCCCACTTCTCAAAAACCAAAGCTCTTACCCTGTGATCCCGGGTGCGGGGTGGCCGAACCAAACACGCGCACACGCACCTGCAGCAAGACTGACCAAGTGAAAAAGCAAGCTCCACTGACCCCCTGCTGGTTGCGCAGACTCAAACAGCATTCCCTTGGCGTGAGGGGCAGTCCCTGTAACTGAAAGCACCTCCCCGACAAGAATGGGGAAGTAGTCCGTGGAGTTGGAATCCCTGAACACCCAGAGT